CGGTATGCAGCAATTCACATGAATACAATCACGACCAAGGAGTAAACTGTATGATCCTTTCCCATCAATGACAAAGAACGTGGTGAGCAGAGTTTTACTCTAGATTGTTAGTTCGATGTTTATTGCCCCCCGGATCTTGGATGTATTTCCTCCGAAGTCTCTAAGCATCATGTCGGTCTCAAGCAAATCTCCTGGTCCCTTGCCAAGCTTACGGAAAGTGTGGTATGGCATAAGATTGACAGAAGCACCTCCATCCACCAACATCTTGTTCATCGGCTTCCCATCAACAAAACCTTTCATATATAAAGCCTTTAAGTGTCGATGCTTGACTGGCTTATCAAATATTGCTTGTTGCACAACCGTTAACTTGGCAACCATCTCTTCATACTCTGACTCGTCGAAATCTGAATAGACTTCCTGATCTGCCGGAGCTCTGAATTCTAATAGTAACAGAAAAGCCATTTGGATATTAGCCGATGGTTGCTTCTTATCGTCTATCTGCTTGGTACACCATACTTGAGTTTTACCGGGTGCCTGAGCTTGTTCCATCTCTCTGTTCCTTAGGCGCTGCACCCTCCTCTTTTGGCTTCTTATCAAATCTCCTGGGCACCACTGCCCTTCCTGCCACATGTGTCTTCTTTCAGTGCCTTCCTCTTCAGGATCAGCCCAGTCCTGACCAATGACTCTTTTCCCCAACCGATCATGAACACTTTCATTTTTAGGCGCCGGTCCATATTATTATGATGATACATATCTTGAGCATGGACAAACCGGCGGTTGGTTCGAGATTGCCTATACCCCCGATATTGATTGCTATAATCTGGACAGTCGTGTCTGGTAGGCAACTTCAAACCTTCATTCCAGCAATGTCTAAAGAAGGGACAATTCCAATGTAATTCAGCTTGTTCTCTTTCATACCTCTCTTCTTCTAATTGATGCTGGTATGCTTGATCTTTTAACCAGCGCTGATAATCCTTTTCCTTCTGCTGCTGCCATTTGTTCAACAGAATTCGAGATGTGACCCGTGGCTTTGACGTCTCTGCTTTCGACGTCTTCCCCTGCTCGTATCGGCTCTTTTGTTCGGCACGATGTCTTCTAATCTCTCTGTACTCATCAACCGATATTTGCATCTTGGGATCGACTGTTCCAGCTTCTCTCGACTTGGTCAATGTTAGGACCTTGATTTTTCCTTTAAACAGCCCAACATCAACCATGTTCTGATCTCCTGGGAAAGGATTATCATCGACTTTCATCTTCCGAGGTGTATCGAATTTGAGTCTCCCTTGCTGAATAGCTTTCTGTATATGCTGCCTGAAGATTCTGTATTCATTAGTGGAATGAGAAGTAGCATTATGGAATTTGTAGAACTTCTTGTTCTTCAACTGATCAGGGGACAATATGACATGACCATCGGGCAACTTGATCTGTCCCTTCTCAAGTAAGAAATTGAAGAGCTTGTTCGATTTGGTAACATCAAAGTCATAACTCTCCTCAACTCCTCTTTCCCAAGGATTTGGCACTATCACTGTCTTCTTACCCCAATTCCATTCAGCTGTAGCAACCTCTTCTTCATCTTCATAGCTGTCATCGACTGAATATGGATCATAAGCCTCGGCTACTGAGGTACTCTTCTGAAATCGGGTATCTCTGCGTATGCTCTAGAATTGGCTATTAAGCGCTGCCACTCGTTGAGCCAATTGACCTAAGTTGTCAAATTCCTATCCCAGCAGTTTCTCTTTCCACATTGGCAGCATTCATTGAACAGCTAAAGCAGCTAGTTGATCATCGGCCAAGTTCAAGGAGAAGCATAAGTTCCTGGTTTCTTGAAACCTCTGAAGAAATTCAATTTCCGATTCATTAGTCCTCTGTCTTATGGTTGTTAGATCGGTAATCTTCTTTTCTCCAGTCCTAGTATAAAAATATGTATGAAACTTCTTCTCCAGGTCAGCCCAATTGGCAATGGAATTGACTGGCAATGATGAAAATCAAGTGAAGGCTGGCCCTGATAGGGACAAGGAGAAGAAACAAACTCGATGGGCGTCTTCAACTGATGCTTCACCCAATTGTGTAAGATACCGACTGACATGTTCTATCGTGCTTGTACTGTCTTGGCCAATGAACTTAGCGAATTCTAGGAGCTTGTAATTTGTTGGAAGAGCGACCAAATCATACCATTCTGGATATGGACGTTTGTATGAAAAGGTCAGCCCTTTTGGCTTCAGACCGAACTGATTCTTCATCATCTCGGTCACCCTTAGCAGCAACTCATTAGCATTTGAATTTGGAATTCTCTACACCTGCTGACCCATCTGTGGGTTGAAATCCCATGTGTCTTGATATCCTGGATTTGATATCATGTGGAGGGTGTTATAATCTGTGTCATAATGATACCCTTGTGGAATTTTAATCTGTTGGGTCCTTTGCTGGCTTGCTGCTTGAAGTCTCTGATTATAGACATAAGGGTCTATATCTTTATGGATCTTTTGAACTGATGGTGCTATTTTTTGAGTCGACGATGGTATGTGGCCTGATGTGCTAAAATTGATCACCTGGTTCTGACTTTGCCTCGTCGGCTATTGCACATGCTATATTGGTGGTCTAGAATTGTACTATGTCTGATTCGTAGCAATCCCTTGAGTTTGTTCAGGTGATCCCTGAACTGTCTGGACATCACCACTACCAGCTGGTACTGCATCTTGATGGCTGGTACCGATTTGATTAGTCCTTTGGATAAACAGATCTAGAATATTGTAATAAGCCGGTCCACCCTGACTAAATGGAAATCCATGAATCGCCTCTTTCATGGCGTTGTGGAATACGTCCACGAAAGCTTCATTGTGACTTGACATGACATCTCGAATAGATTTGTCTACAACCTCTTTAAAGAAACGCTTTGTCTTCAGCTTCGGTCGTGTCTGTCTGTCCGTGTAACAGAACCCTTGGTAGTGAAAATTTTTGAACAGTTGTGTTGTCATGTGTTTTGGTGTAGGACAACAAACATTTGTTCTGAAACTCTTCTATAGCTTTACTGATGACCTCTTTATCTCCATCAGGTAGATCTTCATAATATAGGATAAGGATGTCGCTGTTGTTATGAGCCGCTATGACGATTGTGGTGTCCCACCGGACGTGCCAGAAACGTGTGTCAACACAGAATTTTGTCCCGTGCCGAGGACACACGCAGAAAGTTCATTAGTAATTAAGGGCGAAACTTGCCGGTGTTGCCAGACAGTCCCGAGTGTACGGCTATGAGAGCCGATATGAAAGGGTAGGCTAAATAGCCGATTCCAGTATATTCATGAGAATGAGTCAGTTAAAGCTCATGGGGTTGTATAAGAAGAATCGGTTGTCATTCAGGATAAATATCATTTAAACAAATATCACCATGACCAGTGGGGCATGAGGCAGAATCATGCAGGCAGAAACAACAATAGACTCGATGATCCTAACTCATTATTAATATCAGTGGGGCATGAGGCAGAATAATGCAGGCCGTAATACAATAATAAGATCATGGGGCTAACACATCTTTCAACCTATCTTTACTTCAACGGTCTCGTGATGCAAACTGTTCATGAAAGCACTTGATATTGGCTAAAAACAGTCGATTTAGGCATAGCGCACAGTTAAAGCCATACCTTATCAGGAATAGATCTACCAAATAACGATCCCCACTCCACGGTGCTAACAGTGGGGTGTGAGGCAGAATCACACAGGCCGTGATAACGGGCTATGCAACAGTTTTCACTAGCCAATAAATCTACTCAAGACGCAACACGCCTTAACCGCATGCTATGCATGATCAGGATTGACATAAAACAGCTGATAAAACATAACTCATCATTTAAAGTGTAGATTAGATCAATTTAGATTAGTAAACGATAGGCTAAACAAAGATATAAGACCGATCCAAGTCAATCTCAATCGGGCAGAGTGATATTGTTGTAATTAGATAAACAATGAAAGTAATAAGCAATATTGGTAACTTAATGAATCTACCAAAGACTGTCACTCTAAGATAGAGCTAATAACTTGACCTTGATCCAATTCAAACAGTGGGGTGTGAGACAGAATCACACAGGCCATACTTGAATTAGGCAAAAGTCGATAACTAGCTTATACCAGAGCCGCAGTGGGGGTCGATCGGATCGATGTAGCCATACGAACATAGGTATAAACCATGACGGTACTTACAACAAGCAGTGGAGGTCGAATTTGGATCGATGCGGTAAACAGTATTTCGTCAAGAGAACTCGCCGAGATCTACTCTACTCCTACTCCTAAGGGGTGGTCGGAGCCGAAAAAGTAATTGACTTGTATTTGATTGATTGTGTTTTTTTACAATAACCGGGGCTTGGTATTTATACCTGGGACTTGCGCACGACTCCTATATAAGCACGACTCATCACAAAATTTGACTCTAAAGAAAACATTTCTAATTTAAGATAACTTGGACTCTAATCTTTTCCTTTTTGTAGAGTCCAACGCGTTTTCGTCCTGGCGTCGAGCGTAGCCTCTATCGTCATCTACTAGCGCTGTCCGAAGAAAGCCAATTCCTAGATTTTGCATCTAAATCAGCTGTTTCTGATCCGCCTGCAACTGTCCCTTGATGATACGATCCTGGGAGCTTCTGGGCCCCTGTGACTCTCCTCCCAAATTTTGGTGTAAACACCGGTGTAGTTGACTCTATATAACATTACAGCCCTGATCGTCTGTGGTATGAGCTGTACTATTTCGACGAACGAACGGTGTTTTTTTTTTCATAATAAATCAGCAAACAACACTTTCAGTATGGCTTTTCAGCAAAGCGAACAGAGCCTATGTGCTGTCAACGAGTGTTACAATTAATCCAGCTCTTGGTAAAATGGTAATGCAGTAATTCCTACGGGTTCAACTGTCCACGACTGAAACAAAATAGCGTATACTGATTGGGCAATCGTGATTACTAGAAGCCACCAAAGACAACGGGGAATGCTAGTGCAATCGTTATCGTTAGCAACATGGAAGTTAACCATGCTCTCCTATGGTTGAATTACTCCGTGTTTCTGAAACAGGTTCAGAGCGAGCTCCCATACCATTCTCCCCGTGCGCACATAAGTAAGTTTAAGACCACAGGGAAACCAAGTGGAGGATACAATCGAATCAGATAGAAGAACAATAAACATATTTATTGTTTAATTTGCTATGAATAACTTACTGCTGTTAATTCATGCCATCGTGCCAAAGAAACTCTATTGGTTGGGCATGGCTCTTCTTTTGGTTTTGACAACAAATCACCTGGTATTATCTGTATATAGTTCACTGATGGAAACGGAGAGGTGGAGCTGAGACTGGACATCCAAAAGCTTGGCATAGAGAGTTCAAGAGATGTTTTTGTTGACGTTGATGATACATCCCTATTGATCAGAGCCAAGTCTGACGGGACACTGAGGACTTTGATGAACGTCCAAACACTGTTTGATAGGATTAAGTCTTCTGAGACCATATGGTATGTGTCTATCATCTAGCATCACACTCTTACTTGTGAGGAAGTATTTATTTGCTCATTCTACGTCACAGGTTCATCGATGAGGACCAATTGGTGGTGAATCTGAAGAAAGTAGAGCAAGAGTTGAAATGGCCTGACATAGATGAATCATGGGAATCCCTCACTTCTGGGATCACACAGTTGTTGACAGGGATCAGTGTCCACATTGTTGGTGATTCCACAGACATTAATGAGGCAGTTGCTAAAGAGAGAGCCGAGGGCATTGGGTGAGTGCATCTTATTTCTTTCTTTCTTTCTTTCATTCAATTCGGTTGCTTTCCAGTTAGATACCATGCTGTCCAGATTGCATTCTAGTTCTAGGCTGAATATTTTCAGAACATGCAAAGTATGAATTTGCAAACTTGATTTCTGGTAATCTACTCATGAATCTGTCCCCATATTTCATGGCGATGCAGGTACCTTCCGGTTTGCACAAGTGAGCTGTTAGAGAGCGCCACTCAAAAGTCGATTGATACATGTATGATTTTCTGCCTAATGGCATTTTATTGATAACATGATGTGATATCTGGGCTATCAGATTTGACTAAAATCCAGTTGTCAATCTCGTCATATACGGTCGACAGTATTTGTGACCAAAATAACACGGCGCTGCACTTAAACTTGTAGGGGTGGCTTCTGAAGGAGCGGACTCGGTAGCTGAAGCAGAATCTGTTGTCTTGGAAAGCCTTAGCAGGTTGTTTTTTCTGTTTCCGAGCCTGATTTCTGTAGCCATAGCCCATAGCTGATGATTCTGTCTGATGCAAGATATGTATCCGTTGCAGCCATGTCCGCACTGTAGTTGCAACTCTGGGGGGCAAGCAAGGAGCAGCCAGCAGATTCGACAGATGGCAGTACCTTCATTCTGGGTTCACGGTTTGGCTATCGGTGTCGGACACAAGTGGTAAGAGACTCTCAAACCATTTCCCCCACATTGGTCTGGACCGGAGAATTCACTGCATTGGGTTGAGAGGTTCTCCTTGTGGCTGTCCGTGTGCTGTGTTATTATCCAACAAACAGACGAAGCTGCTGCGAGAGAAGAGGCCCGAAGAAGCGTGAGCAGTGGAAGCGTTTCTTACGCGAAGGAGGACGTGGTGGTGAAGCTTGGCGGGTGGGACCCGGAGTACACGCGAGCTGTTGCGCAGGGCTGCCTCGTCGCCCTCAAGCAGCTAACCTTAGCAGACAAGAAGCTGGCAGGTATGCATTCACCAGATATGATCGCTGGCTGCGAAAGATCAGCAGTTACCTTCCATGAGCAGCATCTCGCCAATAACATCAAGATGCAGACCCACATCGTGCAGTACTGATGCCATGCTTGTTTGTGTTGTGTTATTTGATGGGGGACGAACAGGGAAGAAGAGCCTCTACATCAGGCTAGGTTGCAGAGGCGATTGGCCCAACATCGAGCCTCCAGGCTGGGACCCTGAATCCGACGCCCCACCAACCAAACATCTGAACCATCCTCTGCCTCCGCGCAGTTGTATTCTAAGGACAATAATGATAACGAGAATTCTCTGCATCACCATTTTGGGTGTAATAAATATAAGAGGGGGACTTATAATCTGTCGGTTGATGCATAAAATGAACTCGACGGACCAACTCTTAGCGGCTACCACGGCCCACGGGTGCAGAATACAAAAACGACAGGCAGCGATTGACAACTCAAAAACATAGTATATCTTCTATATATAAGACCAACATTAATTAACAATGCTCAACTCTGCGACTGCTATCTTAGAAAGGCAAACTGGAAGGTAAAAGGAACCCTTTTCACTGACGAACCATTCGAATGGTTCAAAAAGCACGGCAGCTGCATGCATAGTTTAATTTGAAATGAAAAAACACCAGATACAATTTCCTCGCCAACATAGACTCCTATGGCACAGAAAGAACAAACAGCAGCCGCCATACAAACAGCTGGTTCCTCCCCCACCGACCTGACACCCACCTCACGGTTTCACCACCATCTTGGCCGCTGATGCGTCTGGTGCCTCACGCCTCTCCATTGGAGGTAACTGCAGCCAAAAAGACACAAAAACAAAAGGATTTCCTCAGAAAACAGTGTGAAAAGAAACAGGTCATCAAACCACTGCTGTTCTGATGCTCTTGAAAAGTAGCTTGTGCACAGCAAAAGATATAGGCCTTCAGAAGTTCGGTGCGTGGCGGACTGGCTGTCCATCCCAGAACCCCACCAGCTGACACACCTTACGGCTAAAAGGATTTCAGGCTTTCAGAAAGAATCAAAGAGAACTGTATCAGCAAGGTACAAGTAGAACAATTCACACCTTATCTTGGAGACGCATTATCGTCGATATTAGCACTCTATCACCAACTACATGCCTCAGCTTCTTTACTAGTTCACCTCGGCTTATTTTTTTGCTCTGGCAAATACACAATAATACAAATACAAGTGATTTTGGATACCACAGAAGGGAAGGTGACTTCAGTCAAAGGAGAGAGAAAAAAATGTATCAGACCTTAAACTCTTCATAGCAACTAATAACCATGTCCATATTCTCAGGAGACACTTTGGTAGAGATCGCTGCAAATAACATGGAGAAAGGCATCCAAGGTGAGCTTGGAGCCTTTTCCATCGAATCTCCTAGCATGGGGGCTGCACATCCACCTCCCAATGCTGGAGGTGCCTCCAGGTTCATCTCCTGTTTTATGCATAAAAGGAAGTTGTTAACTGGTGCTTTAACCAACTCCAACATGACTAAAATAGCATGGTTTCACAGGGAAACTTATCATATTTGGAGGTTTCTATCATAGATAATGAATATAATCAGCTCCAAGTTATAATCTCAATAATGCAATCACAAGTCAATTATTGAGACAAATCACACAATCTGAATTACTGCAATCTTGCTGCTCCAACAGTGGTTCAACAGGAGTTGACTCTAGTGTTACAGTACTATCTTGTTAATACCCCATGTACAGCATCTTACCTCTGAAATACAGTCAGGTGAACTAGAATTCAACACCAGTGACAGATCAGATGAATTCTGATAGTCTTCTTGCGACACGAGGGAATCTGACACAAATAAAGCTTAGCAATAAGGAAATTTGGGTTGCCACAGATGAAGAAACAAATAAGTCAAACTGAAGACACGGTAGCTGGGATTAGTTACCTTTGGTTTTAGAAGGCAATTTGACGATGACTACAAACTCAGAATAGATGTGCCTATTCATATTCATATCCCACACAATGTAATGTTGTGGGTTTTTAAGGTCATCTACTCCACTATCAAAATAGTCACTACTAGGTCGGTGCTGATTAGATCCAGGGTGAACTATTTCTACGTTCCCCATTATAACACGGCACAACATCATATGGACAATGCCATTTTCATCAACATCAGAGTATTTCACACTGCAGAAAGTAATACAAATATTGAATTTGGCAACGGTTAGGGAAAGGAAAATGAACTTGGTGAGGAACAAGAATAATAAAATGAAACAGTAATTAGTTGCTGTCATTGATCCAAAAGCGTCTGAATAGCATGTCAGTAAAAAGAAAGTAATGAACTCAGGAGTCTGCAAACATCTGAGACAGATGAAAACATAACAGAACTTGGAAAATGTGAACAGCTAAGAAACATAGATGAGATACGAGAGTTAGGTGCCAGCAACGATTTGGAAAGGGGGGAGGGAAAATCCTGACATAAATGGAACAATTGATATATCAAGAACATACCAGGCATCAGAACGATTTGCTGGTGCAAGGAGGGTGCCCTCTCCATAGGCTGCGCACTTAATGGGCGGCTTATGAACTTGTAAAACACCATTCAGCATCATTTCATGCACGGTGCTTTTGGAGCAAGGAAGCCATGCATAACGGACATTTGCATTTCCACGATGAAATCCGGTAACCTGTACTTGCTTTTGGTGAATATGGTAACGGACTTGTTTGTGGTCAACCAATAATGGAGTCCTGAAGATTCCAATAATGTCCTTGGATTCAATAACTGAACCCATCCCCTGCAGCAACAGCTTCTCCACGGCTTCAATAGTGCGCTGAGCACGTGATACCTCACCCAGATTAGCTTGGTGTGGTAGTAGGTTACAGGCTGTAGTCAACAAAGTGAATGGCTCATTTTCTCCAATATCTTCTCCCATATCACAGTAAATATTTACGATGGAATTCTTTTCAGCCCTAGCTCTCTTAGGACTGGAAACATCTTCAGTACTTGAATCAAAGTTTGAGCTTTCTGCAGAACTTTCTGATGTTCCAAGCTGGTCATTCATTTCTCGTGTCCCATTTGGCTCAACACTAATGTACTCAAGATTTCCATTGCCAAAATCTTTCTTAATAAATAATTTCTGGTCTTGCATAAATGATTCCGGGAAGTAGCGCTTTCCATTTTCATCGATCCAAGCAATAGGCCTCTGAAGACCTGTCTTTGTGTCTATGAATGTCATATGGGCAAAATCCAGCAAAAATAGATGGTTCTGATATCCTGTTTCTGTGATCGTCTTTTTTGCCCTGAAGTCGGCTTGGGCCAATTTGACAATCTTTTCTGGAACGTCTTTCCAGACAGCACCTTTGCGAAGCAAAATACGCTTAGGTGGTGCACTACTCATGAAGTTCTTATAGCTCTGCAAAACCTGCTTGTTGAAGTGGCACACGATCTTTGCCTTGCGGTCTTGATCAACATGAAACCTAACAGCAGAATCATTGATAGGATGCTGATGCAATTCAGAGGTGCGGAATACGTCAGCATCATATGCAGCGGGGCTCTCCCGCTTTCTCTTGAGACTATTTATGTTCCTTCCACATTTACCCCATGCCTTTCCGTTCATCGCAGCCATTATTGCTAGCAGAAATGAACACGAACCAGAGACTAATTCTTCCAACCAAGCGAAACCCGAACAAGTCTACTATTTACACTAATCTAGTAGAGAAGCTTCTGAAGACACTCAACCTCATAACGGACGGGCATAAAACAAAAAAGAGTCGGATAGGAAACGAGAAACGACAGAATGATCCTGCAAAGGGAAAATCGACATAAATCAGTAAGATATATTGTTGCTGCATTTTGAATATATACAACAGAACAATATTGGATTACAGCAGGACACTCAAAGCGATTAACTATGGTATCGATTTTGCCGTGAGAACCTAGAGAAACCAATCTTAATGCTGTCACCAGCTGTCATATTAAGCATGGCCAAACAGATTATAAAAGTGCACATTTCTTTTGTCGTGGCGCAATAATGTTTTTCCATGCAAAATAAGTCAACCAATTGCCAACGATGCATAGGTTGTGCTGCAAGCATATAGACGGGTAGAGAAGCTTTTACTTCTTATATGGTATTATTAGTCATGACGGTCTGCGGCTGGAGAGGGAACATGATACTTGTACTAACCAACAGATAACATGGTTATGAAATAATATATTGGGTGATGAATTAAAGCACCAAATATTCTCTTTCATGCACAAATTAGTAATCACGAATTTAACTGAACATGGAGCAAGAATACTTGTATCTTAGACCATATCCATCGCATAGCACATGGCAGTGCAGTAAACGACTCAAGTAAACATCAGAATAAGGTGCATAGGGTAAAATTTAGCGGAATTCTGACAAAACCCAGTGAACCACACGTATCACACGCAAGGATTTCAGATACTTTAACAAGTAATCAAACAGAACTGCAGTCACATGAATAAAAAAATGTAATTTTGAAAAGTCAACAATACATAGAAGAATCAACTTAGTGATCTCAAATCTGCTTTAGCCCGTCCAACATATCCAACATGAGAGGACTACAGATACCAAAAAAAAAGTTTACAGATCGAAAATATACATATATATATATACAAGGGGATGCTCTTCGCCGAGGAATCAGACAGTCAGAAAAGCAGATCCGCCGATCGACGATGCTTACCTAGGGTTAGTAGTGGGAGCGTTAGCAGGGGCGACGGCGGACGAAGAAGAATTTAATTGCTTCATCTCTCTATATCCGATCCCTTTTGCTCCCCCCTAGGAGTCCCCTACCGACCCCACTTTATCCCCGGGCGGTGGCCGGAGGTGGGGCTTCTCGCCGGAGCTTCTTCTTCTGCTGCTGCTTCTTCCCTCGCCGGCGATATTGGATTGGTTAGAGGTGGGAGCAGCACGAATCGGCCGACGGCGGCGGCGGAGGGCGAAGGTGGCGAAGGTGGGAGGAAGACAGGAGGGTATGCGGCGGTAGAAAAATTATTGGACACGGAGCGTAAGAGATGAGGGCGAGGTCCAGGCACGCGGCACGGACCCCACTTGGGTTATTATTATTCCGGTCTATCCCCACCCACCGCCCTACGTCCTCAATCGCTCACCGACGCATGGGCCCGGACCCACCTAGGCGCGGGTACGCGCGGCGCAAACTTGGATGCCAAGTTGGCTCTCCTCTTTCCTTGCGCCGTAAGCAAAATGCCAGACGCCGTGATGCCGACGTGCCTGCATCGGACGGTTCACAGATCAGGTCAACGGTGTCTGTCCCCGCACCAGCCGCATCACGACCGTCCAGAAAGTGCAGATTTTTATTTTTATTAAATTAAATTAAATTCTATACAAGTTTGCGTGCGTTACTAGTGCAAAGGCGACGTGATGATGCCGGATTCTGATTTTTTCCCACGAACGTTCAGATTTGCCTTGGCAGCCGATCGATGGTTTCAGTTTTTTTAATGAAAGTCGGAGTATAATTCATGGTACAATACAAGTTGCTGGCTGGTGTGCCCGTATGTATAATTTTGGTGAATTGCACTTGCACGTCGTGTTTCACGAATCTATGGAGAAACCTGGCCTAAACAATATACTCGCGTTTGTCTACGTGGTTTCCTGCTCCATGGCTAGGCACTAGAGAAAACAAAACATCATTTCCATCAACATCGTGTTGCAATTTCATTCTACAGCGACACCTAATAAACTTTCTTAAGTGCTAACTTATCTTCTACTCCCTCCATTCTAAATTATAAGTCGCTTTTGATTTTTTTTATTCATTCATTTTACTATGTATCCAGACATAATATGATAGCTAGATGCATACCTACAAGTACAGAAGAAAGCCTTTGAACCAAAAATATCTTCCCAACGCCAGAAGGAAGAATTAAAAGAGAGGCTTTCCAGTCAATTGAGGAATGACTTGGGAAACGACTCGATAACTGGAGTGAGAAATACTCCTCGGCTGTTGCAAAAGAAGTTCTCATCAAATCCATTGCATAGGCCCTTCCAGTCTAATGTATGGAAATTTTTAAACTGAGTGCGGGTTTATGTGAAGAACTTATGAGGAAAATAAGATGGTACTGGTGGGGAGTTGAAAGAGGGGTCCGAAAGACTCACCGGTGTGCATGGGAGATGTTAATCAAAACAAAATCTAGATGAGAGATGGGCTTTTGTGATCTTCGTATTTTTAACCAAGCTTTGCTAGCAAGACAAGCATGGAGATTGATATAATTCCCAGATAGCCCGTGTTCACGCATACTGAAGGCGAAATATTATCATAATGGCCATATCATTGACACCGTGTTCACAGGTAATGCTTCACCTACATGGAGATCCATGCATTGAATATGGTTTTTACTTGCTGAAGAAAGGAATTATATGGCTCATGGGGAATGGGTCCAGTATCCGGATTTGGCGTGATCAATGGATCCCAAGAGAGACTTCCCTTGCTGTTTTGGGGAAGAAACATCATAACCGGCTCCGTTGGGTTTCAGAACTTATTGATCAACATATTAATACTTGGAACATGCAGACTGTAGATGAATTATTCCATTCTCCTGATGTTGAGGAAATTCTAAAATTGAAGCTTCCTCTAAGAGGGCAAATGGATTTTGTAGCTTGGCACTATGAAAAGAGTGGTATTTTTCAGTCAAAAGTGCTTACAGGTTGGGCTATCGTCTGCAACACGAGGAGAACCAAGCATCCAGCACATCACCAGATGGAAGTCGGTCTCTATGGAATAATGTTTGGGAAGCAAATGTCCCTCCCAAAGTAAAGGTCTTTGCTTGGAAGACCGCGAATGCCTGCCTCCCAACAACACGAAACAAATGGAGAAGAAATTTAGAAGCAATGCCAACCTGTCCTATCTGCGGAAGAGAAGAGGAAACAGATTTCCATGCTCTCATCTGCTGTCCAAAAGCTAAAGCGCTGAGAGAGGCTATGAGAAGAGAATGGGTTCTACCGCCTGAAGAAACAATACAATTAACTAATCATGATTGACTTCTTTTAATCCTTGAGCGGTGTGGGTTATAGATGCATGATAATTTCCTCCTATTGCTATGGCGATGTTGGTATGTTAGAAATCAGATTAAACATGAAGGAGCTTCCATGCCGATTGAGGGTTCTGTGCGTTTTCTGGTTAGCTATCAGCAAAGTTTGGTGGAAAGCCGACAACAACAGGAAACAAGTGACAGAAAAGGAAAGGCAAGTGTGAATATCATCTCATAGAACCTAAAGTCTAGTGCACAGGCAGTTCGGTTGCAATCTCAGTGGCAACCGCCACAATCTGGGCATGTGAAAGTAAATGTTGATGCAGGCCTAAAGGATGGCCTTGCTAGTTTGGGAATCATTGCGAGAGATGCACAGGGTTCGGTTTTATTTGCTTCAAGCCAAATTCGCTTTCATTGCTCTGATCCGGAAGTTGCTGAACTTATGGCGCTGATTGAGGGGTTGAGATTGGAAATCCAGTGGACTGATCTACCTGTTGTATTGGAGACTGAGTGTCTGTCAATTTGCAAAGCTCTAAACTCTAATGAAGATAATCGTTCCAAACTTGCGTTACAACTGAAAGAAGCTAAGTTGCTCGGTGATGAGCTTAGAGGGGTTGAGTTTATCCATTGTAATAGAATGTGCAATAGGGTTGCTCATGAATTAGGCCAACATGCTTGTAAACAGCTCTGTTCAAATGTGTGGATCATGAGAGCTCTAGAATTTGTTGGCCACTTAGTGGCAGATGATTGTAACCCTGTTCATATTTAATATAAACCTCAACCTTTCCCCACGAAAAAACATAGCAAAATGGATGTATCAAAAAAGTCAAAGTTACTTATAATTTGGATTAGAGGGAGTACTAGCTACAAATACTTGTGTAGAGAATGACCTTTTGAACATACCTCTAAGTCAGTACGACCGACTTCAGAGCTGAGATCTTTATGCAGTCAGGTATTGGGCACTACTTACCTAACAATTGTTGATATGGAGGGATTGCTAGAAGTCTTCATGTCTTATTGAAAAAAATGAAGATACGAAGATACACCGTTCGGATTAATTCCAAAAGTGAGACAGGTGCTATGTCTACCCAACACTATTAGTGATATTATAGTTATACATCTTCAAACACAAAACATACATACAAATTAAAAGTGGCGTTGTCACCTAATATGAAGACCAGCCTCGGTGAGATCTTGTATCCTAGTTTTCAAGATGCCTATACGTTGAAAATAATGTAGACAAATTTCATCCCATTAAAACTCATTTTATCCCATAAAACTTTTATCACCTCTCTCTTCATTTATACTATGTTATATCAGCTTATATAATGCATATGGAACTCTCATTGAGACTGGCCTCAAGAGCCACTCTTACCTTTCTCATTTACAGTTTCACTCATGCCATGATCTAAATGGTCGAGAGCCTATTCGTGTCATGGCACACGTGCGAGTGTGTGACTCACCTTCTAGGTTTTTGCTTTTTTAAAACTTATAATAGGTACACACAGTAGACATTTATATTTAAGACGAGTCAATCTCTTGTCAATTTTTCATACGAGATTAATCCTTTATTACACTAGCATTTATTTTGGACCTTAGGATTATTTTGATAGGTTG